TCCCAGTCCGTCCCAGTCTGACCCAGTCTGGCCCCGGCAGCTCCTGAAGCCGCTGATGGAGAAGCGTCGCCGCGACCGGATGAACCGAAGCCTCGACCGGCTCCGGCTCCTGCTGCTGCTCGTCACCCGCGACGAGGTGAGGCCCCGTCACCGCTATCACGACTGTCGCGACTATCGTGCCCCTATCGTGCCCCTATCGCGACTATCGTGCCCCTATCACAGCTCTATCACGACTATCACACCTCTATCGTGCCCCTATCGCGACTATCGTGCCCCTATCACAGCTCTATCACGACTATCGTGCCTCTATCACAGCTCTATCACGACTATCACACCTCTATCACGCCTCTATCGTGACTATTGCACCTCTATCACAACTCTATCGTGACTATCGTGCCCCTATCACGACTCTATCATGCCCCTATCACAAGTATCACACCTCTATCACGACTCTGTTGTGACTATTGCACCCCTATCGCGGCTCTATCATGACTATCGCACCTCTATCGTGCCTCTATCACGACTATCATGCCTCTATCACGACTCTATCGTGACTATCGTGCCCCTATCACCACTATCGTGCCTCTATCACACCTCTATCACGACTCTGTTGTGACTATTGCACTCCTATCACAGCTTTATCACGACTATCGTGCCCCTATCGCCACTCTATCGTGCCCCTATCACGCCTCTATTGTGCCTCTATCATGACTATCACGCCTCTATTGTGCCTCTATCGTGACTATTGCACCTCTATCATGACTATCGTGCCTCTATCACAGCTCTATCGCGACTCTATCGTGACTATCGTGCCTCTATCACGACTATCACACCTCTAACACGACTCTATCATGACTATTGCACTCCTATCGTGGCTCTATCACGGCTCTGTCATGACTATCACAGCTCTGTCACAACTATCACACCTTTATCGTGGCTCTATCACGACTATCATGCCCCTATCACAACTCTATCGTGACTATCGTGCCTCTATCGTGACTATCACGCCCCTATCACGACTACTGTGCCCCTATTGCAGCTCTATCAAGCCTCTATCACGGCTTTATCACGACTATTGTGCCCCTATCACACCTCTATCACGACTATCACACCTCTATCACGACTATCACGCCTCTATCAAGCCCCTATCGCACCTCTATCGTGACTATCACACCTCTATCACGACTCTCATGCCCCTATCGTGACTCTGTTGTGCCTCTATCATGCCTCTATCACGACTATCGTGCCCCTATCACAACTCTATCGCTGGTCTATCGCGACTACCACGGCTCTATCACACCTCTATCGCGACTATCGTGGTTCTGTCACGACTATCGTGGTTCCGTCACGACTATCGCAGCTCTGTCACGACTGTCACGGCTCTTCCCGTGACTATCACGACTGTCACCGCTGCCTGAGCCGTCTACGGGCCCCTGGGGCACTATCGCGACACTATCGTGACACTGCCAGGGCTCTATCACGACAGTATTGGGGTTCTATCACGACAGTTGGGGGTCTATCAAAACGCTACTGGGGGGCTCTATTGGGGCACTATTGTGATACTTGGGGGCTCTGTTGTGACACTTGGGGGTCTATCGTGACACTATCAGGGCTCTATCGTGACACTATCATGGCGGTATCGGGGCTCTATCGTGATACTTGAGGGTCTATCGAGACATTAACGGGGCTCTATCGCGACACTATCATGACGCTATGGGGACACCATCAGGGAGCTCTATCGTGACATTATTGGGGCTCTATCGTGACACTATTAGGGGGCTCTCGGGACACTACGGGGGGGGCTCTATCACGACACTTGGGGGTCTATCGTGACACTATTGGGGCTCTATCGTGACACTATTGGGGAGCTCTATCAGGACACTGTCACGACGCTTTCAGGGCTCTACTGTGACACTATCGCGACACTCCCAGCTCTATCACAACACTATCAGGGCTTTATCGTGACGCTGTTGGGGAGCTCTGTTGGGGCTCTATTGTGACATTTGGGGGTCTATCGAGGCACGAGTGGGGGGCTCTATCGTGACACTATTGAGCTCTATCGGGGCACTATCGTGACACTATTGGGGCACTCTTGGGACACTATCGGGGCTCTGTCATGACACTGTCGGGGAGCTCTATTGGGACACTGTCATGACACTATCGGGGCTCTATCGCGACAGTAACATGGCTCTATCGGGGCTCTATTGTGACACTATCGGGGCGCTATCAGGGCTCTATCATGACACTATCATGACACTCTTGGGGGGCTCTATCGGGACACTGTCATGACACTATGGGGGCTCTATCGTGGCACTATCAGGGCTCTATTGGGGCTCTATCGTGACACTATCAGGGCTCTATTGGGGCTCTATTGTGACACTCTTGGGGCTCTATCGTGACAGTAACATGGCTCTATCGGGGCTCTATCGTGACACTGTTGGGGGGCCTCTACTGGGACGCTGTCGTGACACTATCAGGGCTCTATCGGGGCGCTATCGTGACACTATTGGGGCTCTATCACGACAGTAACATGGCTCTATCGGGGCTCTATCATGACACTATTGGGGCTCTGTCGTGACACTGTTGGGCTCTACTGGGACACTGTCATGACACGATTGGGGCTCTATCGCGACACTATCAGGGCTCTATCGTGACACTATCGGGGCTCTATCGTGACACTCTTGGGGGGCTCTACTGGGACACCATCATGGCTCTATCGTGACTCTATCGTGACCCTCCCCCCCGCCCCCCCGCCCGCGGTTCGTGTGACGTGTGTGTGTGT